AAACTAAACTAAATGCTGGGAGAAAGGAGGCAGAGTCAGAGAGAAGCCATGTAGCCCCCCTCCCCCAGACAGACGTTGGAACTTTACCCTGTAAGCCACAGCCTCATGGCAATACATAGATTAATACATAGATGGGTTAACTTAAGATATGAGTTAGCCAGAAACAGTATTGTAAATAATATGGTTTCTGTGTGTGTTTGTGTGATTATTCCGGGGTTGAGCAGCCGAGAACAAGCAAGTGGTCTTCCTACTACACCAGCCCACACTTTGCCTAAACCCCAGCTCTAAGACAACGCTACTTCTAGACATCTCTGTCTGATGTGTCACACAGAGCCTCATTTCTGCATGCCCTAAACCAGCTTGTCAGGACTGGAGAGCCGCTTATGCCTGAGAACATGGACTGCTTTTGCAGAGGATCTGAGTTCATTTTCCAGCACCAGAGACAGGTAGCTTACAACTGTCCCTCACTCGAGCTCCAGGGGATCCAATGCCCTCTTGTGGACACTGCCCCCTCCCGTATACATAATTTTTAAAAAAATAAATCTTTTTTAAAAAATTAAACCAACTTGACAATGACTTCCTGTCCTCCACAACCCATGACTTTTCTGTGGTCCCTTCTATAGGCGATGATGTGGTATTAGATTCGGTGAATAAGCCAGAAACCTAGCAATCTTTTCCAATTCCAATACCCTCTCCTTCCTCAACCCAGTTAAGTTACAGCTCTGTCTTAGCCTCTCTAGGCCTGCCTCTACTTCCTTTTTTTAGGCTTCATCTTTGCCACCGACACCTTGACTCTGGTGTTTCTCTCTCTCTCTCTCTCTCTCTCTCTCTCTCTCTCTCTCTCTCACACACACACACACACACACACACACACACACACTCCTCAGGTCCATTCTCCACACTAACACTCATCCTCACCATCTCTGGATCAAAGTTCTATTACATCCCTCAATGGCACGCACAGGACTAAGCTCCTCATTCTGCTTCTCGGGTGTGTGACTCGGGTTTCTAGAGTATACTGAGCTGCTGGTGCTCTCCACTCTAGGCTTTGAGGAGGAACTCAGGGAGCCTTTTCTGACACTTCCCTAGACACCCCCTAAACCTGTGCATCACCTCTCTTAGCATCTTCCAGAATGTACAATGGCTACAGTTACTTGCTTCTCCCACGATCCTAGAGGTCCCTTCAACACAGGGACTTCTTTTGTTACGATGGTTCTTCAGTGTTCAGCTAATACGGTGGGGAGTTGAAGGAATGACAGGGATGGGACTCGGTGGCTGTAAGCAGCAAGGAGAAGCTGCCCGATAGGTTCAGTGTGTTCTAAGATCTGTAGCTCAAATGGGGAACGCTACCTTCCTTCAGTATTCTGACTGAAGGGAATGAAGCACCATCAGCAACAAGGGTCAGCACCTGAGGTACCACTTAGACTGCCCAAGGCTCCCTTCTTACTCATGCCTAAGATGACTATATTCTATAAAGGACCAGTCTGGTAACAACACAAATTAAGACACGGGCCCACTCATATATTGGCCCACATTCCGTCTGTGATCCCAGGGTCTTCAGAGACAATCTATAATTTTATTTGCTTCATTGGAAAAAAATGTAAGAAGTGTTTATTATAGAACAAATATCAAATAAGAAAGATAATTTTGGGGTTGAGCATAGCTGCTCACATGGGTGATTCTAGCACTTGGGGCACTGAGGCAGGAGGCTTGCTGAGAGTTCAGGCCAGCCTGAATGTACACGTGTGGAGAGATTATGAAGAGGCCACCATCTTATAGGAGCTTAGATCTGGGTGGACCATGGGCCGGACTCAGTATTATAAAATAGGCTTTGCAATATGATATAACAAGTACTTTATCTCTAGCACAAGGTGCTTTGGAGTGGAGGCAGACAAATAGTTCAGCCTGCAGTTATCAAGGAAGGTTTCACTAACATGGCAGGGGAGCAAGACCCCTGAGTCCAGAAAGAAAAAAAAGGCCCTTCGGGTAAAAAAAAATATGTTCTCCAAAGACAGTCTAGCCTCTTTATACCATACAGAAAACTCCCATTTCATTCCATAGCCTGCAAATTCCTCAGGAGTCTGTCTCCACCTGAAACTTGCTGTGTAGCCCAGGCTGGCCCCAAACTCAGAGATCCACCTGCATCTGATTCCTGAATGATGGGATAAAAGGCAGGGATTAAACTTTAAGCCTTAATGGGAAGCAGAATGTGGTGATACACCCCTGTAATCCCAGTATTTGGAGGGTAGAGGCAGGAGAATCGAGAGTTCAAGGCCCATCTACTGGCCAGCCTAGAACACACAGATTCTCAGGAACATTCGTTGGAAACAGTGGATAAATGATCCGAGGCATGAGTAACCGTGTTTATTGGATGGGGGCTCTGGGCAAGGGGAGAATTTGGCAGACGGTTGGAAAGGTTGAGAAAGTACTTGGGACTCCTAGTTCATAAAGGGCTGGCCTTTGATTTCCTGTAATAGGCAAAGGTCAGTCATCTATTTCAGTAGGGAGGGTTGTGATTGGACCTTAGCTATCAGCATTGAATCTGGGAACTGGAAAACAAGCTGGGGTGTGGGTGGATGTCCTGGGATTACGGATAGAAATAGCTTCATCCAAGCAGGAGGTGAAAACCTTAGCCAGGTGTCTACCTGGTGCCCATTATCCCAACACCTGGGAGGCTGTGGCAGGAGGGTTGGGCTGAATTAACCGGCACTGTGATCTACATGGTAAGCGTCAGGCCAGCCAGGGCTACATAATGGATTCTAAGACAAAAGGGGAGGAGGGTGAAGACAGGCAGAGAGAACACTGCCAAGCAGACAGTAAGTAGGTGTTTCTGAGCCAAAGCTGCACGGAGCTGGGGATGAACCGGATCCCACTTAAGTTTTTGAGTGAGGTGACAGGGGCTGGATGCGCAATGAGGAACTAACTCTTAAGAGCGTACAGAAACCGTTTTAGATTTGGTGATGTTGGGTCTGAAGTGCCTGGGAAACAGCTTTCTCTGAATCCCCAGGAATTGTGCCTCCACGACCCGCTCCTCCTACCCTTCTCTCCTCTTTCCTGTAGTGGTCACCCCAAGTCCGGAATGCTCCCTACATCTCAGCGGGGGTGGGGGCACCACGCCAGCAGGCACCACATTCTGGAAGACACAGAGTTCAGCCTTGGTGGGTCTGGCTGTGGCCACTCCAGGGGGCGGCTCCCTGACAGGAAGGCGGGCGGGCAGGCCTGCCGGCTGGGCACACACAGGAGCTTCCTGCGCTGCAGCAGGTGCCCAGGCCAGCTGCTCCAACCCTTCAGGCTCAGATCAACAGGATGGGCCAGCCCAAGCGGAAGGAAGCCTGCAGGGAGGGACACTCCTGCAGACAGAAGCAGGGGCACCGGGTGGAGGGAGGCAGGAAGAGCTGCCTGGGTTGCTGAGCTGGCGCTCCTCCAGCGGATTCAGAGCAGGCAGTGACAGGAGGCCATTCAGTCATCTTCCCCCACCCCCACCCAGGGCCTCTCTGGCCCACGGTTTTATCATTACTCTTGTTGATGGCTGAATTTAGGTATACCAGAAGGAACCATGGGATGGTGGTAGAGTTGGCGTTCTCTAAAACAATTCCCTCCCTTACCCTGACGGGGACAGCATGAGCCCTTTCAGTCGTGCGGGCTGAGAAAGCCCGCGGGGGGGGGGGGCAGTGACTTTTGTCTCTCGACCCGCCAGTCCAAGGGAGAAGATAGAAATCTCCAGCTTGCTTTAAGCCCCGTTATCACTGCCTCCGGCTCCAGCAGCTGCTGTGAACCCGCACAAACGGTCAAGGGGGGCGGGGCAACGGGGCGCCAAAGAGGAGCAAGAGCTCTGGGACCTGGAGGCCACAGCCCCCGCCCCGGCTGCTGCGCTGCACGCGGGCGGCTTCCAAACCCGGGAGTGGTGGAGCGGGCAGGGACCCGGGCAGGAATCCCACCTTCCGGCCCTCTCTCCTTCCCCCCGCATCCCCGCAAGCGGTTTCCTGGCAGGGCGGAGGTCCACCTGGGAGACAGCTCACACGGGCTCTGTATTTTAAACTGTGACTGCACCAAGCTCAAACTCGGTTCTGCCACCGAGCGCTCGGGTCTAGGGCTCCGGGCCAAGCCACCGGCCCCGTGTACGGTCCCGGCTTCCCGCAGTCCCCACACCGGCGCCCAGGAGGAAGGACGGGAGGGACGCGCAGAGGCGGGCGCTGCTGCCGGTTGTCTGTGCTGCAGATGGGAGGGCGAGCCAGCGCCCGCCGCCGCCGGGGCGTGGGCGGCGAGTGCGAGCAGGTGTCTGCTCCGTGACAGGGCTCCCCGCCGCCGCGCCCTGGTCCTCCCGTCCTCGCGGCTCAGAGCGACCAAGCCCGGCCAAGGCTCGGAGATGCCGCCGGCTCGGTGGTCCACCCGGCTCTTGCCTCCACGACAGACCCACGATGACCGCGCTGGCAGAGAAAAACCTCCAGGCTCGGCCCCGCGCTGGCGGCCTCCGCCTCCCTCCCCTGCTCGCTCGCTCGGGGTCCCGCCCACTCCCTGGCGGGGCCCGGACGCGGCGGGCGCCAAGGGGGACGGGGTGGAGCGGGCTTCCCTCCCCTCTCCTGACCCCCCTCTTCCTACCCCACCCCCCACGTGGGGCCGGCTCTCCGCAAAGCCTGGACGCCGCCCGCCACCGCGCCCGCTCTCGGCTCTGCCCCCGCCGGCGGCACCGCCCCCGGGCACGCATGGGCGGGGACGGGAGGACTGGGAGACGAGGGGTGGGCGCGGGGCGTCCCAGAGTCAGGTGGTCCCCGGAGTTTCCCCGGGGCAGGACCGAGGGAACACGGCGCCTCGGCTTGTGTACACGCTCCACTGACAGAGCTTCTTGCAGCCGGGCAGCCGCTGATCACGCGTGGCCCCGCCAGCCCATTGGACGAAGCCTCACACACCTTTGCCGCTGATTGGCCGGTGCCAGGCCCCGCCCCCTCCCCCGCCCCGCGGCGCGGGGCAGGCAGAGCGGCTACCTGAATGGGGAGGGGGGCAGACGGCGCGGAGCGCGGCGGCGTCGACGTCTAGTGTCTCCTGTGCGCCCGTCTGTGGCTCCTCAGCCAGCACAGCCAGGCTCAGCGAGAGGTACAGCTCGCACCCTGCGGCCACCCGGACAGCCCGACCATGCTCAACTTCGGCGCTTCTCTCCAGCAGGCTTCGGTAAGTCACCTGGGGATGCTGGTCCTTCCCAGCCGGGGCGCGAAGCCCGAGTCCCCTCCAGCAGCCACGCCTGACGAGGACCCAGGCTGCAGCCGGGGTCCTGCAGTGATTCCCTGCCTGCAGGCTGGGGCTATCATCGAGGGCGTGTGCAGAGGAGGGGTCTGCCCTAAGAGGACGCCTGGGACCCGCACCAGGAGACAGCGATCTTTTCCCTGGGTGTCCAGCAGACAAGGGGGAGCGCGACTCGGGGAGACCCGAGGCAGAGCGTGAGCAGGAAAGGGGGACTGCCTCCCTGGAAGCGCGGCTACGCTGGAGGGGGCGCCCTGCACCTGGCACTGGCGGGAGATGCCCCTGTCTGCACCAGGAGCGCGACCCGCGGTGGCAAAGACTGCTCAGGAGCTGTCTGCCCGAGAGGCGGGCGCCTGCTCGTCGGGGAGGGAGGAGAAGGGGTGCTGCCAGGTGGGGACCACACGGCTGGGGTCGCCCGGGGCTGGGGGTATGGATGGGACGCGGGCTCTCCGGGCGCCGGGGGAGGCGCGCACCCCCGCAGACGTCGGGAGGGGACTCCCTTCCCGGGAGGCAGGTGGCCGCCGATGGATTACTCTCGGCGGGGAAGGGGGGGGCAGGGCCCTGCCTTGGAGCCCGACAGCTGGGCGGGGGAGCGGGGACCGCGAGACGCGGGGGGCGCGTGTCGAGGCGGGGAGCCCGTGCCCGTGGGCGCCCGCACGTCTGGGAGCCTGCAGAGAGGCGGAATGCGAGGGGTCCGGGGCTGCCGAAAGCAGCAGCGAGGGGGCGCTTGGCGCCTGCGGGAGACGCGGGTGGGTCGAGGTCCCGCGGGCCGAGTGGGCGGAGCGCCCCGGGCTCGGAGCGGTCGTTCCCGGGAGGAGGGCGGCGGTCGTGCTTCCGCGGGGACCCGGCTCCTCCTCCCGCAGCCGAGGCGGAGGCCCGGGCATGGGCGGCGAAAGGGTGCACTCGGGGAGCTCCTCGTCCCCGAGTGACCCAGCCCCGGTCTCCGCCAGGGGCGGGAGCGAGGCCCGGCCCTGCTGTCGGTTCCTAAGGGAACCGCGGCTCGGGGAGGGGGCAGTGGGAAGGGGCGGGCGCCTCCGGAGCCGACACCGCCCAGCCCTCGCGCCGCCCGGTGCGCACTGGCGAGCGGTTGGCGGCGGCGCCCGCGGCCCCTCCCCGGGCGGGCGGGCGAGCGGGGGCGGGGGCCGAGCTCAGGAAGTAGGGGAAAGGTGACGGCGCGGCAATTCCCAGTTCACGTTTCCTGCGCCGGCCGGAGCAGCCGCTGATCACGCTTTGTTCACATGCCTCGGCCCCCTCCTCCCCGCGCCCCCGCCCACCCGGGGCCGCCCAGCCAATCCGGGCACGGGCCGCAGGCCGGCTGGCCAATGGCAGGGGCGGGGACGCGCGCGGCGGGCTGGCTTCCCGGTGACTCACCCGCCAGCCTCATTGAGGTTAGGGCGGCCCCATCCGTTGGTCCCCGCCAGCAAGGATCTCCCCCGCCGGCCTCCCGCGCCCCGCCCCCGCCAGGCTTCCCTTTCCTGCCTCGCACCGGCTCTTTGCCCCCCTCCCAGCTTCCCTTCCCCGCGCACATTCTTCACCCCTGCCAGCGTGCCTGCCTTTTTTCCACCCCTTTCTTTGCGTCGGTGCCTAGAGGCTTTTTACACTTAGGCTTCGCAGGGCAGCTTACATAAAGGCGCGAACGATTATGCAATGACATTGTTAGTAAAAGTCCAAGAACAATGTCTGTTTCCCCCACACCCTCAATAGGAAGATAGACTTCTGGGTGGTTTTTTGTGTTTTGTTTTGTTTTTTTAAAAAAAAAGATTTAAGACTATCTTTACAATTAAATTTTATTTATTAGTTTTGCTCTGTCTTTTTGAGTGACTTGCTATATGGCCCAAGTTGGCCTTGAACTGTTCTGTATCTCTCCCCCGCCTCCAGTTTAGAAGACTTTTCATAATTTTTGCAGCCTCTGCATTGATCGGGATTTGAAAGTTCTTTTTAAAAGGAAAATAGAGATGATGTTTCTTTTAGAATGCAGCTCAAGGAACTCTTACTGGGGTTGCACAAACATAAACTCTTACCAAGGCGTGTTTTAAATAAGTTAAAGCCAAGTTGTGCACTCTGGGGAGTTTGCTTTTGGTTTGTTTGTTTTGCAAATTCTAAGCGCATAGATTTTGTGCCTACCTGGTCCCATTGTGTTGGATAGATCCAGTAAAGTAGTAGAAATGGAGAGATTGAAACTTGCCCAAAATAAACCTGGGGTTTTCCCACTTGGATTGTTTTGTGTTTTGTTTTTGAAGTGCTTCCCACCACTCCGCCTCCACCGTCCCGAGATTACACATACAGTTTACCATGCCTGGCTAGGACCCCCCCCCCCCTATTTATTTTACTTTACCGTTTGTAATGAAGTTACCAGTTGTAGATAACTGGATGTAACGTTTTTAACTTGGGAGTAGTTTGCTTTAAGTCAAATTGCACTTTAGGACCTACCAGGGTTGGTCTCCGTTCCCTTGCTATGGTAAGGTGGCATCCTTTCATGTCAAAGCGTGTTTTGAAACCAAAAAGCTTGTGCACCCGTCACCTGAGCAACTGGAATGCTGATGAAGTTTAACGTTGGTTCGTGCAGGAGGAGAAGATGGAGCTGATGTCTGAAAAGCTGGGAGAGAGCGTGTACCCCTGGAACAAGACGGAGAAGAGTGACTTCGAGGCTGTGGAGGCGCTCGTGTCCATGAGCTGCGACTGGAAGCAAGGTTTCAAGAAATTCCTTGAGGCCAGGCCTGTCACTCCAGTGTCTGACACGTCAGAGGAGGAGAGCTTGCTGCCAGGGACACCTGACCTTCACACGATCCCAGCCTTTGTGAGTGTTCTGAAGTGGGTGTAAATTGCAGCGTTTTTTAGTATTCACATAAACGAATTCTTAATTTCTCGCTGGTGTTTCTCTTTGTAGTGTCTGACTCCGCCTTACAGCCCCTCTGACTTTGAACCCTCTCAAGTGTCAACTCTGATGGCACCAGCGCCATCTACTGGCCACTTCAAATCATTCTCCGAGGCCCCCAAAGCTCCTCTTGCTGCTCCGCCCAAAGAGGAAGAGAAGAGTCCTGTGGCGGCCCCTCCCCTCCCTAAGGCTCAGGCAACGAGTGTCATCCGCCACACAGCTGATGCCCAGCTCTGTACCCACCGCTCCTGCCCTGTGAAAGCAGCCAGCATCCTCAGCCATCAGGACAGTTCTTTCCGGAGAAGAACCCACCCAAATACAGAGGCTTCACGAAAGAACATACCCTGCGCGGCCGTGCCACCCAACAGATCCAAATGTGAGCCAGACGCACCCGCGGATGGTGACGAGAAGGCAGGCGCCGCACCCTGTGACCTGGCTGTGCCGTCCTCAGAGACAGTCATTTGTCCGTCTCAGCCGGCTCCTGGGTCCCCATTGCAGAAGCCTGTCTTGGTCCCCTCACCCACAGTGCCCACTGCGGGCGTACCACCTCTGCCTGTCATCTGCCAGATGGTTCCCCTTCCTGCAAACAACTCGCTGGTGACCACAGTTGTCCCCAGCACTCCAGCCAGCCAGCCACCAGCTGTCTGCCCCCCTGTGTTGTTCATGGGCACCCAGGTGCCCAAGGGCACCGTCATGTTCGTTGTTCCCCAGCCTGTTGTGCAGAGCCCGAAACCTACGGTGGTAAGCCCCAATGGCACCAGACTGTCTCCCATCGCCCCTGCGCCCGGATTCTCTCCTTCGGCAGCGAGAGTCACTCCACAGATGGATTCGTCCAGAGTGAGGAGTCACGTCTGCAGCCATCCCGGCTGTGGCAAGACCTACTTTAAAAGTTCCCACCTGAAGGCCCACGTGAGGACACACACAGGTACGGCGCACGTGTGCGTTGTCTTAGAGATGAGTACGCACGTGGGGTTTGTCCACAATCACAAGTACAAACGAGTGTATTGAAGGGTTTGCTTTGCGTGTGATAAAGTATTTTTTTTAATTGTTAAATTTGTCCCTGGGCCCCGTGGCGCACTTGGGGAGTGGAGGCAGAAGCAGCGGCACACATCTGGGGGTGTGTGATCATCTCTGGCTGCCAAGTGCCGGGACTTAAGGTGTATGTCCCCATGCCACGCACGTCTAGCATATACTTCGGTGATCTGTAAAGTGACCAGCTTTTAGTTCTAAATGTTGTCTCCTCGTACAGCTCTAGATGTGGTAGATCCAGTCCGGAGGGTCGTCGGGGTAGTAACCGTCTGGCTGTCTTTGTTTCAGGGGAGAAGCCTTTCAGCTGCAGCTGGAAAGGGTGTGAGAGGAGGTTTGCTCGCTCTGATGAACTGTCCAGACACCGGCGGACCCACACGGGCGAGAAGAAATTTGCCTGTCCTATGTGCGATCGTCGGTTCATGAGGAGTGACCATTTGACCAAGCACGCCCGGCGCCACCTGTCAGCCAAGAAGCTCCCAAACTGGCAGATGGAGGTGAGCAAGTTAAGTGATGTCGCTCTACCTCCGACCCCCGCCTCTGCACAGTGACAGGCCGGAGGATGAAGAACCAGAACTAACTTTGGTCAGTCAGGAGCCAGCGATGGTGTCAAGATGCTTCTGCGAGTCTGTGGTCCTCCAGCAGGGGCCAAAGCAGAAGCCCCTCGCCTGAGGAAAGGCCAGCCTGGGTTAGATGGCCAGTGCTTCAGCCGCAGGCAGGTCACAGAAGGGCAGGTTTCATTTCTTACCACACAGAGATGAGAAAGCTTTTTCTCCATTGAATAGTGTTGAAGGTTTCGGATGAGGTCAGCACAGATCCTGAATCATGTCCACATTGGTACTTAGTTTCTGCAGTTTATACTTGAGGCCAGCTTGGCCGTGTGGCTCAGTTCTAAAGCATTGGATTCAAGAATCTAGAGGCTGGAAGTTGCAGTACAGAGATGGAGCTGGGGAATGAGCTTGTGTCCCACAGAGACGCCATCTTCTCCTAGAGTTATCTTGCTTATTGGTCCTCATCCTTCCGGTCACCTCCATGGGTGTAGTTACTATTGAGTATACCTAAAACAGTCATTTCCCACTCTTGTTGGTATTTAAAGTTGAACAGCTGTACATCGTTAAGGGGGAGTCAGAGGTGGACCCCTCATTAATTTAATTGCTTGGAAGCACAGCTAAAAAAAATTTTTTTCGTGCATTTTTTTAGTTTAGTGTTAACAACATTTAGGCATTTTACTCCTCTTTAGGTTTTAGTTTGCCTGCAGTTTCTCGTGTAGATTTGGAAATTGTGTACCAATGTGTTTTCTGTAGACTTAAGTAAGATACGCTGCACTTTGTTTAGGAAAAAAATCTAAAGATGAAAGTATGTATTGATGAGAAGGGATGTCGAATCTGAGATAACTCCTGAGAAGGATGGCTTTACGTCATCATAAAGGACGCTTACGTCGAAGATACACTGTGTGCTTTTTCAAATTAGGAAGTTAATGGCCGTTACAGATGGACAGTTTTCCTCTTTATTTATGGGAGTTTTTCAGGCTGTGGGAATAGATAGGTAGAAAAACTGTCATTAGAACATTCACTTCCAACTTGAAACGACGTTCACGATGCAGTTGCGTTCTCAACCACCACAGTGTCTGGGCACCTTTGGAACTCACCGAGACCCAGGGCCTTGCATGTGTTCTGCAAGTGCTCGCCCACCGAGCTGCGTCCCCAGCCCAGAACAGTGAGTTCTGCTAACAGTATTTCTGTTCTGGTTTAAAGTAGATAATTCACTTGGTAGTAAAGGTAAACTGTCCAAAATCTATAGTGGAAAAACTGTCACTGTACCTCCTCCCATTTACACTGTTTCTGTATCTTGGGTGTAGGTTTCTGACATGCAAACTTGAACCCTTGAAAAAAAAAAATTTTCTTAAAAAAAATGATGAATCATGAGTTCCAATTTGCACAATATTTTTTGTTGTACTTTATACCTTGTTTACAATAAAGAGTTTCCTTTGGTATAAACAGTGTTTTGTTGCTGTGTTAAACTCTACTCTCTTGTCTCATCTTGACATGGACCTCCTTCACATTGGAACTTGAGGCCAAGGTTCTTTGCTGAAATGATAGGTAAGCCAGACAGTTAAAGAAATGATTTCCGGGCATTTGGTTGTTTTTGAGATGGCCCTCCAGCCTCTGCCTCCCACGTGCTAGGGTTTGAAGTGTGAGCCACCACACAGTTCACGTTTTAGTTTTGTATATTCTTGTACATTCTGATAATTTGAAGTTCAGATGTAGCTCTGACCCTCGGCGAAACCTTGTTAAGTACACTGGAGTTAGCTAGAACACCTCAGTGAGTTTACATGCAGTGCAAGTGACGAGAAAGACGCTGACCTAGTCTCCAAGTTAAAGTCACTCAGACCAAGAAGTGCTACCTTAGCCTCAGTGGTCATACCGCTGGGTACTTAGGCGGAGAGAGTTGTAAATAGGGTGTGATTTTTATAAGGTCACTATTTTAGTTGACCAAAAAAATCTCACTGTGCTCGTGCGAACATTACAAACATAACCCCTGGTCTAACATCTGGCTCACTTTTTGAGACTAAATCCCACTGTAGCCCAGGCTGGCCTGGAACTCACTAGATAGCCCAGGCTTTCCTCAAACGTGCAGTCGTTCTGCCTTTGAAATGCTAGGGTTGGGTGTGCATCACTATTCCAAGTCCAGACAACCTGTTTTTGCTCAGACTTCCCCACTGGTTGGTTGGTTTCTGCCTTCCCTGTATGAATCTTCCCTAAGGTAAGTTACTGTGGTATGCTAATTCCTTCATTGTATGTTCATCTACTTGGTTATTCCGGTCAGTATGGATTTGTGGCTATGCACGCTATTCCCTAAGTTACCAAGGAATTTGTGAGTTAGCTCTGAGCACTTACCATTTTGTTTGAAAGGGTTGGGGAGTCTGTGATGGGGATTCAACCCATCCTCCCCGCCCCTGGAGTAACAGTTGTGACTGTTTTGAGGGGTGGGAAACAGTCTCACTGTGGCAGCCTGGCCTTGGCCTTGTCATCCCTGTCTCAGCTTTCTAGGTGGTAGGGTTTTACTTTCTGTTTTGTTTTGTTTTGTTTTGAGGCAGGCTTGTGGCCAAAGCTGGAGAGTTTTCTCTGCCAGCCCCACCCTGCCAGCTCCCATCTTGTCTGTCACCTCACAGCCCCTCCCTGTCCCTAGTCTCTTCCTGCGAACTAGTCTTTCCCTTTGGAAAAGGAAAACCGGATCAGATCACCTCTGTTTAAAACATTTTAAACACTTGTTGTGCACAAAGGATGAAGTCTGGATACTGACTTCCCTTCTTACTTAACTTTGAGACAGGTAACCCAGGCTGTCCTGGAGTTCCTGACCCCCTGGCCTCCACCCCCAAGTGCAGAGACCACAGGCATGCAGGAGGTCTTAGAGCCCAAGCTGGCTTTACGCTATAATGTTGCCTGAGTCTCCCTCCTGCATGGACCTCCAGGTGTGAGCCACTGCCTGCAGCAGCACTCCCTGAGAAGTCCCAATCATGCAATTCAAATTTTCAGCCCCGTTGGGCCCCCCCTTCCTACCCCAGCACTGGGGAGGGTGGGTGCAAATGCAAGGCCAGCCTGCTTGACCCGAGTGCCAGGCTAGCCAGTGCTGCAGAGTGAGACCCTGTCTCAAATTATTTTCTAGTAGCGCATCAAAGAAGTAAAAAAAAATGAGAAGAACTAATTTAACATTAACCCTGAATATCTAAAATATTTCTTCATTGAATCCATATAATTACTACCCATCTATAGTCCATCTTTTCTGGAGCTAAGCTTAGAAATGCATTCTTACATGCTTACAGCACATCCTACCTGGGGCCAGCCACATTGCAGGTGCTTGGTAGTCACAGGCTTGGGGCCCTGCGAAGGTCCCCAGTACCTAGCACCACTAGGTTCCTACCAGCCCCCCCCCAAGTCTATCTTGCCCTGTGTTCATGTACTGAGCCTTACATCTTATATTATTTCATGTGGGCAATGTTTTCCCTGCCCTTTTCCCTTGACATTTCTGCTATCACCATAATCACTGCCCTTTACTGAAATTGCTTAATGTCTCTGTTTTTTTCCTTGACTGCGAAACTCCGCGAGGACTAGGAGTCTCTGTGTCTTGCCCAAGCGTCTGGCACAGCCTCTTGCACATAGCAGGGGCTCAATTTGCTAAACTGAAAATTGAATCAAAAGGCAGCCTCTGCAACTGCAGGAAGAGTTACATGTCCTGCAGGATACGGACAACAGCCCTGAAATGCCACCGGCTGCCCCTGCCGTTCTTTGCTAGTGCAGGAAGGGCCACCTACCTCACATTCTAAACCTAAAGAAGGCCAGCATTATTCAGGAGTACCAGCACGTACCCAGGTCACAAGACAAAAACAGTTGTGACACATAGATTCTTCTCATTGCGGGTTTTGTTTTTGTTTTAAACAGGACAGGGATAAAATCTAACAGAGATGAAGACACACAGGACTTGCATGGGCCCTTCAGGAGAGTCAGGTTCCTTGCCTGGAACGGCTGAGGAAAGTCACCTTTGTGAACTCAGTCTGCTTGTTCGTTTACCAGCTGCCCAGACCTGAATAATCACAGAAACTATATTAATTACAACACTGCTTGGCCAATAGCTTAAGTGTGTTCCTAGTTAGCTGTTACATCTTAAATTAACCCTTTTCTATTATTCTGTGTATTACCACGAGGCTGTGGCCACCAGTACAAGTTCTGGCATCTTCTTCCTCCTGCAGCTACATGGCATCTCCTTGACTCCACCTACTTTCTCTCTATATCTCTTCCAGTCTGGCTATATTCTGCCCTGCCATAGGCCAAAGCAGCTTTATTCATTAACCAAGAAGAACAACACATATACAGAAAGACATCCCACATCACACCTCAGTATCCCCTCTAATGGTTCTCACTGCTCTCAGTATGGGCAGAGCAACGAGGTCTTTCATCAGGAGCACTGGGCACGCGCTGTGCCCTGGCGTCGGAGCACCGTCTTTGCGAAGACGAGAGGAAGTCCTTCTCCAGCTGTACTGCTGATGCGTGAGTTCTGGGGTGAAGACCAGGCCGAAGCATGATGTCGAGTTGACTCATTAGCGCAGAGAGGATCTTATGTAGTCCAGGCCGGCCTTGAACTCCCATGTAGCTGAGGATGACCACAAACTTCTGATCCTTACACCTTACAGGCTGGGGTTGCAGATGTGCACCGCCATGTATGGTGTACACAGTGTGACCTGAGGACTGAATCCCAAGCTAGCCCCCTACCAGCTGAGCTGTAACCCAGCTCAGGTTAGCCCGGGACTCCCAATCCTCCCAAGTGCATGCCAGCTCTCCCAGCTTCAATCCAGGTGCAAGAGGCAGAATGCTCTCCCAGCTGTGGAGTTCGCCCTGACTCTGCCTTTTGTTCTACTCGGGTCTTCTCCTGAGTCAGTGAGACCTCACCCGTCTTAGAGACAGTAAATTGGCTTCTTTACTTTGTTTATCCAGGCATGCCCTTAGCGACCCATCCAGGATATATGGGCATAGATGGGCCTTCTCTGGCCCAACCAGTTGACGCACAGAATTAACCAGCGTCATCTGTGGATGGCAGTGCTGGTTACACGGATGAGAAGCTCACTGCTGGAAAATATGCTTCCTTATTCTGAGTCTTGGTGTCCACCTTTAATTATGGAACTAGACATAATTCATATGCCTGGTCCATTCCTAGCGCCACAGCAAGCTCAGATGAGGTGACGTACGCAGAGCCCTTGAGAGCGCACGCAGTCCGTTGCGGGTTTGTCGGTGCTGTTCCAGGGTCGGTGTCTGGGAACACATATTGGCGTGAATGCGTTAGGATCTCCACCAAGGGTGGCCGTTCATTCTGTAAAGAAGATCTACCTGGAATTAGACGCTCACAGGATTTTGATACTCAGTGTCCCCACAGTTCTACCTTATACCCAATGATTTGGGCAACCCATTTACAGTAAACTCATTGTAATGAGGCCAGTCTAACGAAAGCATAGACATTTGCTGAGCTGAGCAAAAGCCTGGTCATTCGTCATTTGATTAGAAAGCACAAGTTTGGACAGTCACCCCAGACACAGCCAGTTCATCAACCAAGTTCATCAGTTTACCCAGTCCCCTTTGCCCTGCTCAGCGTGACCCCAAGCGTCCGTAAATACTGCGAGTAAGCTTGGCTAGCACATGACCACTGCCCAGACAGTCCTCGAAAGAGCTACAAACGGCAGAAAACTGTGCCCTGAAGTCTACGTCACAACCCCATGGGAATGTGGGTCAGCTGGGGACAAAGAACTATGAAGACACATCTGACAGGGTCTACTCCAATATTGTGGCTTCAAGTGACAGAACCCCAGAGAATCATAACTCCCTCATCTTTGTTTCATTATAGCAGAAGGAGTTGCTTGAAACGGGGCCGTCGGTTCTAAACCCTCTTTACTGAATGGCACCCTGCTTTTTTTGTTTGTTTGTTTTTGTTTTTGTTTTTGTTTTTCAAGACAGGGTTTCTCTGTAGCTTTGGAGCCTGTTCTGGAACTTGCTCTGTAGACCAGGCTGGCCTCGAACTCACAGAGATCAGCCTGCCTCTTCCTCCTAAATGTTCATTATTAATGTATAAGTATATGTGTGTACATAAAGCCTAATGCCTTTAGAAGAGTGTGGGCATTTGTGGGCCATGACACACGCACGCGTCAAGGTCAGAGGGCAACTTTGGGGAATTGATTCACTCAGTTTACCAGGCTTGTGTGGCAAATGTTTTTATCCTCTGAGCCATCTTTGCCGGCCTTCAACTTGATTTTTCCCAGAGGACTGCGTGTCTTCTAAACTTTAAATTTGACTCAGTCAGAATACTCAGTGAGTTCTGTGGAATATTTAACTGTGTAAAGATACGTTACTTCTGATTAATTCTGAATTAATATTATTCAGCCTTGTAAAGATGTGTTACATTTGTTTAATTATGTAAAGATGTGTTGCTGTTTCACTTGCCTGCCTAAGGCACC